TGAAGCTATTTGTCCACAGAGTCATAAAAGAAACGTTACTATTTTACATTACCGTCATTTTATTTCTGTTTGGGTTATATTAATTTAAATTTGACAATTTCATACTGTCAATCATACAATTTGATTTAAAAAAGAATAATTATTTGAATGCTACTAACTAATGTAGTAATTTCATTTTTAGCTAAACCAAACTTTAGTTCCATAATGGCATAAAAAAAAATCTTATAATTTCATTTTATCTAAATTTGTATTAAGGTTATATTAATTTTAAATTTGGCAAGTTTATATTGTAAATCATTCAATTTTATTTAAGAAATATTTGATTATTTGAGCATTCAAATAATCAAATTTCATTTAATTTTTAGCGAAAATAAAGTTTACTAATCAATTATTTGAATTGAAGTCACATTTTTACAGCGTCATAACAGAAACGTTACTATTTTACTTTAATGTCATTTAAGTTCTACTAAGGTTATGTTAATTTAAATTCACAATTTTTAAACGTAAATCGTCCAATGTAATATTAAAATACTTTTTGCTTTGAAATCTGTATTATGAATACCACAATTTCACTTTTAAATAAAATTTCATCTTCAAATTTTTTTTGTAGCAAGTTTATGTTAATTTTAATTAGACAAAATTTAATTTATATAATTGTTTTTTTTTACTCAAAAAGGTTAATAAATCAAAACATCATCGTAAACTGAAAATATTTTTATTTTCTTAGAAAAAGCTAAAGCAATTCCCTTTCAATATTCTGATTATGCCTGAGTACAATATGGAAATAGGAAAATAATCACTTGTTAAAGACTAGGAAAGCATTTTTTTTTTAAATATTTGTGTTCATTTTAAAGATTTCAATAACTGTTTGTAATTAGTTTGTTTTTACTTCTGGAAATTCAAATTTCCATAGCAAAATAAACCGTTTTACACGGTACATTCTTTACATGTTTTCGTTTTTACACTGTTTAAAAATAAATAAATAAAAAATAAATGTTGAAAATAGCTTTTTCTTTACACATTTCTGTGCGTTTTATGCATATTTTTTGATTTCCAAGGTTTTACATTCAAAAAGTTACAATTTCAATTTACACGTTTTTCTCAAGTGAAATTTCAATTTTTATTGAAACTTTAAGAAGCTTTAATAGTTACACCAATATCTCGCAAAGTATTGCTTCGATCAGTTCGGATTCACTTTAGCCAGGATTGAAATGTTTTAAATCAAACTAAATTTTAATTGAGCAAATTTGTGCAATTTGTTTCTATTTAGTTTCCTCGATTAGTACTTTTTTTAAAATTTGCTAGTATAGAAATCGATAAAAAAAACTTGTTACAACTAAACTACAGTACGATTTTATGAACACTACAGCTTGCAAGTTTATTATTTTATGCTCTTGTACAGATTGGGTTGGGTCGGTTCTGTCCATCCATCCGTCCAGTTCATCATAAAATTGAACTCAGTTCTGAAAGTCATAAAATGTGCAGTGTCCATTATAAAAACATCTTTGTCGGTCCGGAATTTTCACGAAAAGGGGATTTGTAGAAAATTTTCTCGCTCACCGACAGACAGTTTGTAGTGTCGCCGCCCTTCGTTCGTTCGTTCGTCGCGCGGGATTTTCCGAAATCAAAAAACCAGTTTCCTTGGAAACAACAATAACAATATTTGTTTATGGTTTCCAATGCATATGCGTTCCATATTTCAGATTCGTTTCCAATGAATTACTACCAATATGACTGGTAATTATTTCTTTCGCCACTCGCCAAAAAAAAACAATGTTTTTTTTTTGCAAAATTAATTAATAATCGGTGATGATGATCGTCGACAAAATCGAAAACAATATTTGAAAATGAAAAGGGTATTCACCCGACAGATCTTTCCAAATTCGAATTGTCATTGTTTGTAAAAAGTTCTCTTGCATAAAATATTTAGTTTCAGATTTTGTATTCTCTTCCAATTTCTTGGCACAAAGAATATTTATTAAATTCATCATCAAAATATACTTTAATTATACTCATTTATATGCACAGTATTTTATTTATCGACAATAAAATTTGGATTAATTAAAATTGATTTAATAAGAGAAAAAAAATCTTAATTTCTTTTAATAAATCTAAATAAATTAAAATCATTTAGTTCATAAAATAGATAATTTTATTTAATTTTATGTATTTGTTATAGATAAAAAGTAGATAATTAAAAGCAGTTGTTAGCAATGAAGAAAAAAATTACAATTTATAAAAAAATAACTTAATTAGTTCGGATTAATTCTTAATTAGTAGACTAATTTACGATTAGGTTTCAACGATTCTAGCAATGCAGACGCGTGGAAATGTCGAATTAATTAATACTGTGCACGTAAATTAAATTTGAATTCCGCATAGCGAAACGATAGATAAAAAAAATAACGGAATAATCGATTTTTCGTAATTAAGTATTTAATGTGTTTTTTTTTATAAAGAAATAATTTAGTTGTATAACAATAAAATTATCATTAACAACACTTTATAAGTAGAATAAATATTTTTATAACATATTTAAGAAAATTAATTTTAAAAAGTCGTTCTTTCAAGAAATTAATTTAATGTGAATTCTTATTTCAATTACAAAACGTTTATTTCTTTTTAATTCTGAAGAAATGTTGTAAATTTAATTGATTTTGATTTTTTTTAAATATGAATGTAATGTATAAACATTTATTATAATTTAACAATTTGTAAAAATGTTTAAGAATAATATAATTATTTGGGCAGAATATGGTCAATAGTCTTTTGTATCCGTTGACTTTTTTAAATTATATATATTTCTTTTGTTCTTTTTATTTCTGTAAATGTTTTTGTTTTGTACGACTGATACAATAAACGTTATTATTATTTATAATTATTTTGACTTTTTCAATCCATTTTAAGAAATAATTCAGATTAATATTTTTGTGATGATATATCAAGTTTTTTTTAATACTCAAGATTTTAATTAATTTATTTAAAAAATATTGATATAAATATACTTTTTTATGATTGTCGTTGGTTTATATTTTAAAAATGCATTAAAATATCACACAATTAAAATAAAATATTAAATTATTAAAATAAAATCAATATAAAATATTGATATTCATGAATTTGTATCAATTTGTGTTTCGTTTAAGTTTATTAAGATTTAACATTTTTTTAAGTAAAATTGGTTGGGACTTCTTTTCGTTTGGTTCTTCGACTCGATTACAATTATTACATATATCAAGTTTTTTTTAATACTCAAGATTTTAATTAATTTATTTAAAAAGTATTGATATAAATATACTTTTTTATGATTGTCGTTGGTTTATATTTTAAAAATGCATTAAAATATGACACAATTAAAATAAAATATTAAATTATTAAAATAAAATCAATATAAAATATTGATATTCATGAATTTGTATCAATTTGTGTTTCGTTTAAGTTTATTAAGATTTAACATTTTTTTAAGTAAAATTGGTTGGGACTTCTTTTCGTTTGGTTCTTCGACTCGATTACAATTATCCTCTCGACTCGTGTGTTTCGTTTTTAATCGTCGATTCGATGAGGACAGAAATCGCGGCTCGCACGAAAATAGTCGTTAAGTTGTTTATTAATTAATAACGTGCGGAAGGAGGAGAGCGAGAGTGAAGATGAAGGAGGAGAGTGAAGAGAAGGTGAAATGAGTTAGGAGATTCGCGGGTCGAGAGTGAGTTATAAAAAATAATAAAGAAAGAGGTAAACGTACTTTTGCCCTTCAGCGTTCGGGACGGACGGAACGAAAGCAAAAGTGTGCGTTGCGTGCGAGACAAAGAGTAAAAGAGAGTAAGAGATGGATGGGATGAGAGAAGATATGTGTGCGTATTTGAGAAGAAAAGAGATGAACGAATGATGTTGGTAAAATCACGCGAAAAACGCGCGCGAAAGATACTAGGAAACCGGAAAGAATAGCGTGCATGTACATTTTCCGGTTTCTGATCGCGGGAAAAAGTTTTTCCCTAAGATTATACTACTACCACTCGCGTTTTTCTTCTTCGGCACCGAAAATCGCGCGTCCTCTCACTGCCTCCATCTCTCTCTCTCATTCCTTTTGCAGTTTCTCTCCGTTTCTCTCATCCGGTGGTGCCAGGGGGGTTGAGATTCTGCTGTCCCCCCACCCTACAAATTCCCTTTCACTCCGTCTCTCTGTAGTTTGGATCGTCGCGTCCCTCTCGCACCCGCAGCCGTTACGGAACTTGATTGTAGCGGGGCGGGAGGGGGTTGGAAAGTAGCCGTCCGATTGGTCGAGGAGGGGACACACGTGATAAGGAGCGTGGCCGTGGGGGGTGAGGGTTGCTCGGGTGGACCGCCGAAATTCAAGAATATCCGAGGACCAGTCGGGCTCTGGCCGGCATCGAAGTAACAACGAGGCGCACGCTACATTCTCTCTTTTAAAACAGTGAAATAGCATCAGCACTTGCTCTCAAAGTTGTTTTGTTTGAGAAAGGAAAGAGACGGAGTGATAAAAACAAGTTGAACAAAAGTTTAGAAGTATCATCAGAATTCGATCGCTCTTCGAGTGAGCGACGAAGAGAGAAAAATAAAAAAGTTGATCGAATAATATTAACTTTTCTTCGGTGGTACAAGTGAAGTAGTTGCAAGAGAAAGGACAACACAATACTATTAGTGAGATTATTTAGTGATCGCGTGAAAGATGGGCTAAATGCACACCAAAGTTCATCCATTCAATAAATTCAAACTTTTCATCGTTCAGATGGATCGACGATCGTCGCGAGTGTGATGTTAATTCAAAAAACGTTTCGCGCTTCTTGTTTCCGCTTTTCCGATTTGAATTTCGCGCCGGTCGGCTACAGAACAATTGCCATGTTATGATATAAGAGCAGTGCGCGTTGTATTTTTTCTTTTTTTTGCTTTTTCTTTTATTTTCTCTCCGATATTATTTCGAAATTTGTTTGGAATATAATATAATAAAAGGTTTACGAAAAAAAAGTAAATATATATTGACGAATAAAGAGGACAGAACTTTATATTTGATAAAACTGTATCGGTGAACAGATTTCGTTTGTTTTTATATCGTATATATGTATCTATACACGCAGGCGTATATACATATATTTTGAAAGACTTGAAATAAAGAAGTGTTTGTTATTGACAAGTGCGATGGCTAATAACGTTCAGCAATATCAGCAGCAGCAGCAACAACAACAACAGCAGCAGCAGCAACAAGGTACGAACGGCGCGAATCCCCATCATTGCAAAGAGTGCGGTTTGTATCTGAACTCGGCCGAAAGTTTGGAGGTGCACCTGCAGTACCACAAAGAGAATCTGATGAACAAGTGGGCGAGTCCGGAAGAGACGAACAACAACACTACCGGAGGAGCGAGCTCCAAAGTCGGACCGACGACATCCCCATCAGCGGCAGCAGCTGCAGCAGCAGGAGGAGGACAGCAGACGAGCGGTAATAGTAATAGTAGTAGCAATGGAGCAGCAGCAGGAGCGGGTGGCGTAGTAGGCGTAGGAGGAGTGTTTGCAAGTACGGTAGCTGCGGCCGCCGACAGTTCTGATGCGATGATGATGAAGAAGAGTCCCGAATATTCGAGGGCGACTCCTGAAAACAACTTTGGTCATCCGCCGACGCCGCAGAGCTATCACAGCGCGTCATCGCCATACCAGACGCCCGAAAACTCTGCCTTTTCGCCGGGTTTCCAGAACTACCAGCAGCAGCCCATAAAAACAGAACGATCTTCGCCGACTTTTCAATACCCCACATTCCAAGATGCTCAATTCTTTAATTTGGATCAGCCGCAGCCGCAGCAGCCGTACGCACAAGAATATCCCGTTCATAAGATGCCCTCGCAAAACTCGTTCAGGTACCATCCGTACCAACAATCCGGGCCGTACGAAAGACCAGTAACTCAGGTGACTAGTTCAAGTCCGGCTTATCCACCGCAACCGACGCCTTCACCTAGTCCAAAGCAGTGCGACAAGTGCGGATACGTCTGCGAGTCTGCCTCGCAGCTGATCGAACATATCAACGTGGCCCATCCGCCGACGCCGTCTCCGCATCTCGGCAACTACCAATTCAATTTTCCGCTTCAGCCTAACGAGATCAAGACGGAAGATGATGCACAGAGCGAGATATTAGACCTGGACTCGCACAAGGTGGTGCACCAGGTGTACCAAGAGGAGGAGAAGAGCAATCCGCACAGCGTTAACGCCATGCTGAGTGCGTGGCCTCAACATCTTGCGCAACAGCAGAAGATGTACCTGCCGCTGCCGCAATCGCAGCAGCAAGATCAGAGAATGATGATGTTCCAGCAACAGCAGGATTATATAACGACGACAGGCGCTCCTCAGGACGCGTACAGACCGTTCGATCATTTGCAACCTCCGGCTCAACAATCTGCTCCTGCGATAACCAGCACGCAAGTCGTGAATCAGCCGGTGGTGGCGGCGCCAGCAGTCAGCGCAAAGAGCACCAACTGGAAGTCGAACGAAGCCCGACGACCGAAGACGTACAATTGCACCGCCTGCAACAAGTGGTTCACCAGCTCCGGTCATCTGAAGAGACACTACAACACCACACTGCACAAGAACGCTGTGAAGTCGAGCGGACAACCTGATCCCGCAACGCTTCCGATCAGCGCTCATCATCATCCGGCAAGAGAATCGACGTCGAGCAGAGAGAATGAAATGAATTCGAACAGTCCGACGGAGGATTCGCGCAGCGAAGACGGATACGAGAGGGCGGTGATGCCGCAGGGACTCCTGCAGCAACCGCCGAACGGTCCCTACGACCGGCACCACCATCCGATAGGCCTCGGACCTCCACCTCTTCAAGTACCACCACCACCTCAACAAAACACATTGGGAACGAGTCCCCCAAACGGGGAAGCAGGCCCCTCAGCTACCACCAACAACCTCGATTCGAGGGGCCTGCTATCCACCACCAACACCACCTCCCCCAATTCCATCAACAATACACAGGACAGCAACACCACCACCAACCACCTCCATCAGCAGCACCTCACCACCACCAACAACACTGGGCATCCGCATCAGCAGCAGCAATACACACTCATGGGACAGCAGCAGCCTTTGATGGACAACAGCCAATTTCAGATGTACCCAAACGAGTGTGCCCCCCACGTTACGCAAGTTACGGCTACCAACAGCCTCAGTACTACTGGTGAAACAGATCAATTCAACCAGGAGTACACGACGACGGCATCAGATTCCCAGCCGCTGCCGAGCTTCTCGCAGTTCAACAATCGCTTCGGCCTTTTGTTGGGATACAATACCGTCAATAACGTGGGGGGCCAGGGTCCGGCAACGGCCCCATACACCTCATACTACAGTACACCCGCAACGACGGCCGCAATTGCCGCCGGTCCAGGCAGCTTTGAAAGTTTTCGCGGCGCCGACGATGACTACAAGTTAACCGTTCTAACCGCTGCTGAGACGGATCCTCTGACTGCCGTAACCCAGCAGCAGCATCACCAGCTTCTGCACCCTCTGCATCCGCAGCACCTTCATCAGCAGCAGCTGCACTACCTCACCGACAACAATAACATCGCTTTGGCCACCGCTTACACGGACATCGAACCTAAGATGGACACGTTGGAGGATCTGAAAATAAAATTCGAGACTTCACCTCTGTCGCCGGAGAAGGCGCACACTAAACGCGATTACGAGGAGACGACCGGCAGCCCTCAGATCACCTCCACCTCTACGGTGCAGGTCAGCAAGAACGGCCTCCACAAATGCTACGACTGTGATAAAGTCTTCAATAAATCCTGCTACCTGACTCAGCACAACAAAACCTTCCACAACGGCGAGAAACCGTTCAAGTGCACGCGCTGCGGGAAGCGCTTCTCCTGCAACGAGCAATACCAGGAGCACTCCAGCAAGCACGCAGGAGAGAAGCCCCACAAGTGCGACCTCTGTCCGAAACAGTTCAATCACAAGACGGATTTGCGTCGTCACATGTGCCTTCATACCGGCCAGAAACCGTACGCTTGCGACATTTGCGGTAAGGGTTTTATCCGCAAGGATCACATGCTGAAGCACAGCGAAATACACAACAAGAAATCGCACTCCAAGATGTCCATATCGGCCCGATAAAACGGAAGAAACACATGTGATGCAATTATTACGCCCAATTCCTGCCCGTGGAGAGGAGGATGCAGACGAGGAAAGAAGAAGGAAGTAAAGAGGAAAAGACGATGAAGATGTACAAGTCAACTAGACAGACGCCCACCCACCCATCATCGCCATCCACCAAATGCAACCAACACCAACCCCTTAAAACAACGCCCCTAGTCTTCATCAATGCAAAATTGCTCTAATTTTTCTCTCTGGTAAAGAAAATCGCACAAACCACCAAACCATTTTATTTTTATTAATATTTAACATGATTATTTTAGTATATTTTCCTTTTATGATAACGAAAGAAATGAGAATAAACCATACTTGTACATAGCGCCCAAAAATTAATTATATATTTTTTTTTCCACATTTTTTTAACACCACGGAGAAAAGTATAGATAAATAAAAAATACACCCGAAACAAATTTGCTCAAAAAACGAAAATAATCTCTTCATATGAAAGAAAGTAATAATAATCGAAGAAGGAGAAAAGGAAAACAACTGCAATATACCTCAGATAACTCAGTTAAATAATCAATAATTATATAGATTTACGAGAAATTAAATATAAATAATACAAAAGAAGAAATATTTATATCAGATATTATTATTATTAACAATATTATTATTCTAATTAATGATACTATATATATATTGAAAGGCGAAGAAGAAGAAAGAGACGTATCAAATCTATGTACAAAGGAGTGTCTGTCTGTCGAGTGTGTTGATTTATATTTTTTGTTTAGTTTTCTGTTGTATATCTCTTTGTTTAATTTGGATAAGAAAGAGCGAAGGATGAAAGCTGAAAATAAGTCTTTACTTAACGTAACGTAAATATGTAATGCATACTACTATTACTACTACCACCTAGGTCTTAATGGAAGGATATTATATATAATCGCAATACAAATGCAATAATTTAATTTTTATAATACTATTATTATTAATTAACGTGATCGAGATTCGATTGTTCTCTCGGTCGTGTCCACCTGTGTCCATATTATTTCTTAATTGACTTTTTTTAATATATTATTAATATTCGTTGTGTAAATAAATAATTGATTAATTCTAAACGTAAACTACCTCAGTTATTAATCAAGAAACAATACAGAAAAATAAGCAGCAAAGATATTTAATTAAATACGTGTGCTGTGTATTTGCATAAACAGATGAATTGAGAGAAAAAGTGTGTGTGAGAGAGAGAGAGAGAGGAGGAAGTATAGAAAAGGTGCCAAAATTGTTACGACCGGATCTTTTAGTTCAATTGAGATTTATATATATAAATATATGAAATTTAAAAAGGAAAAGAAAGAAAGTAAATATATATTATATTTAAAAAAAAACAAAGATGAAGTAAATAATTGTATATTGATAATTGTTTTTTCTTCTGTTTGCTACTGTAAAGTAATTGATTGAGAAGATTGTGTGTGCCAATTGTCAGGAGAATTTTTTAAATGTTTAAGTAGTCAAATTTGTCTATATTTTATACATTCCACTTTTTAATAACTTAACTCTTAACAGAATCGGGGAAAAAAGAGAAGAACACAGTCATAAAAACAACAACAACGAAACGAGACAAGAAAGAAGACAAAAAGTAATAAAAATATATTTGAAAGAATATTTGCGACGCGAATAGATGAAGAAAACGTGCGAATCGTCATTTTCTTCATTTATTTCCAGCACAAAACCCCGCCCACCTGTACATAAATAACGCGCAAAACAAAATCAACAATTAAAATTTTGTCCTTAACAACCACAAAAAAAAATAGAAATGATCAAAGTTGGCGAGGTTTCGTTCTTTTTGGTTTTTCTTTCTTGCTTCGTTTTTCATCGAATTATTATTTTTTATTATTACTATTATTGGCACAGGAGTGTTGATTATTGTTAGTGCAATTTTAAATGTATTTTAAGAGTTTTGAGATGAGATTGGATTGGATTGAAAATATATCAAGTGTGCGCGCAGCGAGTGTTTCTCTGATTTTTATATATATACAAAAATATGTAATTCCGAAAAACTAAACAACCGAATGAGAATATAACAAAACACGCACACACACACACCAAAAAAGTAATTAAAAAAGGAGGAAGAAAGATTGTGAATGTCGAAAACAAACAATTGAGTCTTTTTTTTGTTGATTGATATTTTATTGACTAGGATCATTGATAGTAGTTACCACAGGTTGTGTATTTTGGTTGATATTTGTTTTATATTATTGATATTATTATTGTTTTTTTTTGTTTTGTTTACATGGCCAACGTTGCGTCTACGTTAACTATTATTATTATTGTATGTAATTATATATTATTATTATTATTTTTTGTGTATATTTGTTGAAGACTGATTTCAGGGTTTTTTTTTCTTATATATTTCCATATTCTGTTGTTTAAGTCTTATACTTTTCTGTCCATCTATTTCTTGCGTTATCCTCGTAACGTTTTCCAACGAAACCGTATACACGGTACATATCTTTATGTTATTATCGCATTTTTTACTACATCTTCACGTTTTTTTTTCACCCTATTTACTTGTTTCTCGTTCTTTTTCTAAGTGGAAAACTAAGAAGAAAAAAAATAATAATTATATTTTATACTCGTAAACATTCCTCGGAAATTTTTATAATTATTATTATTATATTATTATTATTTTATATTATATATTTTGTACATTATTATGATTATATACATATATTTCCTACTTTTATTATATAAGTTCTCACTTCTATATTCTTTTTTTTCTGATAATGATCTTTATATAATTTTACCAGACACTATAAATAAATATTGACTATTAAATGTAAAAACAATTTCTTTTATTTTCACGCAACTCCTTGATCCTTCTTAAATTTCAGCTGAGATTAAAAAAAAAATTTTTCAATTTTTTATTTTTTTGCAAAAAAATGTTAAATCAGAATAGATATATTAAATAAATGGGTTGCCTAGGAAAAACAATAGAAATCGTTGCAATTCGTCTCTTTCAAACTTTTCGACTGAATTATAGGAGTTTCTCCAAATGTAAGGAAACATTTGAATAAGGTAAGTTTGAAAACATCTCACTTTAAGCAATTTACGATCGTTTTTGTTTCTTATTAAACAGCGGCTTTCAGAATGAAGTTTTTTTTAACCAATAGCTTGTGAGCTTCAAAAAAAAATAATTATAACCAGCCAATAATCTGCGATGTTTATAGTAGTCGTAGCAGTAGTTTTGACGCATATTTTAAATAATAGTTTTTTCTTTTTCTATTAAAGTTCAACATATATCTCTATTCAATTGGAAAAAAAAATGTTTTCTTCTGAACAACTACTACTTCGACAATAAACCAATCGTTGGTAGGATTGGAGAAAAACAAAAATAATAACCAATAACATCATATTTTTTGTTATTATATTCAGTCCTATTCATATTTTCACTTTTGTTTACATTTTACTTTTGTATTCACTCTAACCAATTCGCTTATTTTATTGAAAGGAAACAGTCGAATAAATAACAAACAATAATAGTTCAACCTCTCATTTCAACCAATCGCGTGAGATATATTTCTAACAGATGACATTACGACTGATTTTTTAACCAATCACCGTCATGTATCATACAAAAACAATTGCAACCACCAATAGACTAATATTTACAATTATTGTCATTTCGCAACTCAAATTTTCAGCTTTTTTTAATTATTTTTTGACGAAATAGTAGAAAATAAATATTTGTCACAAATTTAGTTATTTCTTTTTATTAATAGGTTAAAAATTTCATTAATTTCGGATTGCAAAGTTTTTTAAAATTAATGATTTTAGTTTTTGAGAATTTCAGTTAAAGTTAGTTTCGAGGAAATGTTCTGTGACGAAATAAGATTAAAAATGATTAATTTTAATTGATTGATTTTAAGAAAAATCTGAATTGAAAATGAAACAAAATTTCGAACAATACTTTTGCGTTTGTTCTATTTGCAAATTTTCGTTTAGCCGGATGGTAAAATTCCAAGAATTCGAGATGGAACAAAAGGTTTTTCTTTACATACACTTTTTCATTGTTTGTTTTTCTCTTAGACGGATGGATAGAAAGTGCATATTCCGCAATATTTCAGATATTTGACAGGGCTCGAGGAGATGCAGCTTATGTCTGCGTACGTACCACCAACCGAGAAAGGGCAGTTGACCAAATGGAAAGTTGCTAGGATTTGTGCGGCCGCACAAAGGGCCCAAATGGACGATTCGAAATGGTCGATTGGAAGGAACGGTGTCCAGGGAAAAGAACGGCCCTTGCCTCTCCACTTCGTCCATCGCCGCATTTCAAATTCGAGCACCCCCGTCGCGGCGCAACGACTTGTAACTAATCAGAGACACTCCTCTGCAATCGCACAATTTCGTTGAAAAATGAATAGAAAAATGTGAGAAGAAACAACGAAAAGAAAGTGAAGATTTTGGAGCATGAATAGATGCGACTAAAGGCGTGTCGTCTAATTACCCCTCGAACGGACACGCTTCACGTTTAATATGATTTGCATTCGTTGCATATTTCAGGAAGCCAAATCTAAGGAAAAAAATAAAATTTCTTTATTCTATATTTTTTTCTTGTTGCGTTTTCCTTAGAATCACTCAAAGCGTTCACCGTGAAGTCTGTTTCATTAATTCTTCCAAGAAATTATTTATATCAAAAAAATGAAAAAATTGATACAAGAAATGAAATAAATAAACAATATACAAATTAATAATAAACATAAAAAGTTAACAAAAACAACTTATTTACATCATATTAAAAATAAAGTAAAACTAATTGGAAATTTTAATTCATTATTTTCAATAAGATACGGTAGAACCTCGGATTCGATCAATTTGGTTTAAGAATAAAAAATATAAAAAAATTGTATTTAGTTCACTTTATAATTTTGATAATATTCATTTTCAAAAAAAAATATTCAGAAAAGTCGATTTGACTTTAAAATATTATTCATTTAAAAGTCGAATCGCTGAAAGAGAAAAATATTTTTTGTATGTACATTTTTTTAAACCGTACTATAATTAATCCGCACTAATCTGTAGATTTGTCTAATTTTCATTATTTTTTGTTGTATTCAATAAATATTAAACAAAACGAACGTATTTTCATGATAGTTTTAGCGTTCGCAATTGCAAAATTTTTAATAATTTCCTTATTTTTATTAGATTCTCGATTACATTCAACAGTGAATTCTAATTATATTTTTTTACGATTTATTTTTTTAATACTTATTAAGTAGTCTCAATATAAATTTATTTGTTGATTAAATTATGAAAATGTTACATAAAATTTAATAAGACAAATTGAATAATACATTAATAGTCGTAGATCTACATAATTATGTTGTTTCTTTGTTTCGAGACTGCTTTTGTTTTATTTAGTTTGGATTCGTTTTTAGTGGTTTGTAATCTCGTTTG